AGGTTCGTGGCAATCGTTCTTAGGTTGGAGGCCATCGCTCTAAGGTTGGAGGCGATCGTTCTTAGGTTGGAGGCCATCGATCTAAGGTTGGAGGCGATCGTTCTTAGGTTGGAGGCCATCGCTCTAAGGTTGGAGGCGATCGTTCTTAGGTTGGAGGCCATCGCTCTAAGGTTCGTGGCCATCGATATTAGGTTGGAGGCCATCGCTCTAAGGTTGGAGGCGATCGTTCTTAGGTTGGAGGCCATCGCTCTAAGGTTGGAGGCTGTCGCTATCAGGTTGGAGGCCATCGATATTAGGTTGGAGGCTGTCGCTATCAGGTTGGAGGCCATCGATATTAGGTTGGAGGCTGTCGCTATCAGGTTGGAGGCCATCGATATTAGGTTGGAGGCTGTCGCTATGAGGTTGGAGGCCATCGATATTAGGTTGGAGGCCGTTGCTATTTGGTTGGAGGCCGTCGCTATATTTGGTTGGAGGCCGTCGCTATATTTGGTTGGAGGCCATCGCTATTAATTGGAGGCCGTTGCTTCTATAGGTTGAATAGAGAGTTATTTGTTCAAAACAGACAATTACCTTTCGGGTCCTTAGACCGACCTTTTTCCTGTCCTTCCTTGTGTCTATGAAAGCGCACTACAGTATGCCCAGCATGACACAGTGCAGGCTGCCATTGCTGATTACAAGGAGAAGCAGAGTGTGCAGAGTGTTTCCCCATGACCTGCCAGTGACTGCCATCGAAAGCGTTCCAAGCCAGTCGTTTCCCTTTGTACAGGGCGGGCGCAGGAGCATCTCATTGAGCCAAGACACATCGAAGAACGTCTTGTGGACGCCAGAGTTCAAACGGACACATCAACCGAGTCACTTGTTTCATCGGTGTTTTGTTTTCACTTGTTGAGTCATGTGTTTTCAAACGTTCAGCTTGGAGAAACAAGACAAGTCACAATTCAATCGACAGACTTGGCCATCGAACTCATGCTCAGCTCGAGCTGTCAATCAATCCGATTGACAAACCTGCATGCAATGCAATACCAACACAAAAAGGCCTAGACTGTTGCACATGCGAGCATGTTTGTCAGACTTTTGCTTTTTTTGCAAGGCCTTCTCCCGCTCCTACTTGCTGTCAAGAGCGGATTCAACATCTGAAAGTAACTCGTGTTCAATGCTACTAGTAACAAGGGGCATCGCTACTACCAGCAAGAATGCTACTAATAACACGAAGCTACTAGATTGGGATCAGAACAGAGTATGACACCTCCTAATCATGCTTCAGTGTGAGAGGGTTGACTGCGAGACCGCAGTCCATATCAGTCCACAGAAGCAAGCAATAGTCAAGCTCCATTCATATTAACTAATAGCGATGCACTTGTTTCTACTAGCTTTCTTGTTACTACTTAGTAAGGCACTTGTTACTAGTAGTGATGCACTTGTTACTATATGATTGAGATCAAGGTAAATGCACTCTTGACTGCCACCTAGTTGGCCACGGCGCCAGAAGCATATGAATTTCCGTTGGGAAAGTATACAGATCCGTTGGCAGGCCATCATTTGCCTTCTGGATTTGAGGCACAGCCTTTCAACCACCGGTGGCATCGGTATCGATGTCACACAACACACAACCATGACTGACAATTGGTCGAACCATTCAAAGGCCTAGTGTGAACAGGATGAATGTGAGGATTACTCAGCTTTCAATTTCACATTCCGCTGCGACGAGTCATTGAGCACGAACCACCGTGTCGGGCCAGTCGAGGAATCTCACCACTTTTAGAATGAAAGGAGTCTGAGTCTAGTGAACGAGCAACATCTACATGTCTATGTGCTGCCAAGCTGGTCTTTGCTTAAGCCCGATCTAGATCGAGACTGTTTGTTTTCTGTGTTTTTGTGGTCAAAAGGAGTGCTGATTGTTTTATGTGTGCTTCAAACTTTGTTTTGGATCACCAGCGGGAGAGTACATCAAGGAGTCAAACGCATGCGGCATCATTGTGATCAAAGCACCCGCTTGAAGCCTATCATTAACCAGATGTAGTGGCCCTCACAGCTATGTTTGTAAGGCTAAGGTTGAATACTGTCGAACTCTGGCTCGTTTGAGAAGCAAACTAGCAGATTCCTACTGCTCTGGTAGTCCTAAACTACGTGAACTTAGAAACCCTTTGCAACGTGGCACTAGCTGCTGTGATGGATGTGGCATTTGTGCGGTCCAATGGCTCCACCAGCTCAACGCCAAGGCTTTCCTGTGTGAGCAACCTTTAGGAACTTTAATCGGAACCACCAAATAAGATGTTCTTATAGTTTAGGGGACAGTAAGTATGTTACACCCCCCTACAGCCACCTAGAAAAGAGCATGCTAGCAGTAATCCGTGAGGGCTGACTTTGTGCGTGAGGGCTGACTTTTTGGCTTTGAGCCCATACTTGGAACGTCAGTTAAGACCTACTAGTAGCTTCTTGCTACTACAGGTGAAACGATTCCCAAGGAAGCTTCTTGTTACTAGTAGCTTCTTGTTACTAGTAGTATGGCCAGGAGCGCCCCTAGTAGCTTCTTGCTCCGTTCGTTGCGATGCCCTTGTTCCTGGAGGCAAGACTGCAAATTTCACCGATTGTGCCTTGGACGTTGTGTTACTTGTGTTGTGACCAGATTTGCACGATTTCCATTCCCAAGACGTCCAAAAATCCAAAACCGCTAAGGTCCGCGATGTCTTCTCAGCAGGTCGGGCAGTACATGGCGGCATGTGGATTTGCCGACTATGAGCACCTCTTTCAGGACTGACTCAGCAATGTCTTACCCCACCATACCACATAGATTCAACATGCCCAGAAACCCTAGGAACTGGAGCAGCTGGAAGACTGTGTATCCCAACACCGAAAGCCATGCAAATACGTGAAGCACACTTTTTTGAGAGCTCGTCGAAGCGTTCAGTCAACAAGCTGAACTTGTACTGCTTGGCAATCCTGGTGCGCAAAGCCTGCTGTTGATTCATGCAAGCAAGAAGGCTATATTAAACAATTGTTTTAAAAGGCCTTTCAGGAACTACCCTTGCTAGAAAAATTGATCAAGATCCAAGCCATTGAAGCGAACATGCCTAAACGGATCTTAGGACAGGTCGCTTCATCTTGCTACTACTAGGCAGAATGTTTTGTTTTCCGGGAGCAAGAACCAGTTAAGTCAAAGAGCTGCAGCTACGGCATCTAAGTGAGTCTAAGGCACCAATCAAATAGAGTCATATAGACCTAGTTTGCAATATATATTGGTATTGGAGGCCATCATTCTTAGGTCGGAGGCCATCGGTAGTAGGTCGGAGGCCATGCCATCACTAGTAGGTTGCAGTCTGCAATCTGTTTGGTTCTCTTTGTAGTCTCTTTCTAGTTCGCATCCAGGAGCACAACATCAGCGGTGATCGGCTCTTACAACTCACCTCTGAGGATTTGAGGAATATCGGGTGAGACGCTGAGAACCATTGGACATTTCGACATCTAATGGGCGTGGAGGTTGTAAATATGGTTTTACGAATCGTGGAGCGATTTGAATTCCAGAGCTGAGCTCACAACTTTGGGCCTTGTCACTTGTCATCCACTTCCAACATAAGTTAGATCCTCCAAAATATCTTAGATCCAAGTAGGTTGGAGGCCATCGCTATTGGGTTGGAGGCCCATGGCTCTTTCGTTCAGATCGCGTCCGGTTTTGGAATCAACTGAGAAGAGCTAAGCGAGGTTTGTGACTGTGGGGGATCGCCTGGTGATGCAGCAGGAGACCAGTCGATGCTACGAGAATGCTATGCCCTGCAATGGACTTATGGACTTATTGCTCCTTACAAGAATGCTTTTCACGAAAGCTAGCGAAGCTAGCTGGAGTTACTCTTGCGATAGCAAGGTTTCTTTCGACCGGGTGCAAATCCTAACCCCTGATTTTTCAGGTCGAAG